TTCTTTTTTATCACATAGTTTATTACACGTTAAGAACCCAGATTTGTAGTTTTACAACCTAAATTATATAAAACATAATACTATACGGCTTAATTAAGAAATTATTAATCTTTTCTGGGATAACGTACTTGAATTCTTAATATCCGATCAAGTCTGGTCAATTTACTTTTAATACTCTATCACGTGATCAAAATTCGGCTTAATCACGAGGTGACGATCAAACTTACATATTATTATTAATGATTAGTTAAAGACAATAGGTTTTTATTAAAATAATATAAGATTTTATATATAATAAAAAATATAATAATTTCTTTATTTGCAAAATTAATTATTTTGAATTATACTATTAAATAATACTCTTTCCATATAATTTGAAAATTACAATACTATTAACTATATATCTAATTTACTTCTATTAAGTAAAAAAATAAATTAATTGTAATATTTTTCTTAAAGCCAAGGTAATTATTTATATGGATTTAGAACTGTTAGCAGATGAAAATACTCAGAAAGACCTCAGATAAACAGAACTTTATAACCAATAAATCTAATTTACAAACCTACCTATCATCCCATCCTTTTTACATGCAAGTATAAGTTTAGACTTAAATCTAATAAAACCTCCTACTTAATTTTTATTTATATTTTAGTAAAGATAACTTAATATTTATATTAAATTCACTTTTTAGCCACCTAAATATGAGAACTTTTATCAGTTATAATGGATTATCATTTAGAAATCCTTCTATATCACTATTTTAAGAATAAGATTTTACTTAAAGACTACTACAATCTACAATTGCCAGGTACTGATGATATAGTTATAAATCTTCAAGTGGTATAGAAGTGATCATTTGAATAAAAGGTACTAAGAAAGTACAGACTTAGATAGTTATTAACCACCAAAACTGCTACTAGTATTTAATTTAATCAGAATTGAACCCAGTTTCCATCTAATACAACTGGTATTTCAGAAAAATTATGGTCAGTCTAAGATTTATTTAGAAGGTCTACTATCATAAAGATATTGCATCCTTGATTTTACCATTTAAACAAACTATTTACTACATCAGGAAATTTGTTTAGGCGTAATTTAGTGTAATGTTTCGAAGGTGGTGTAAAATTTCGAAATATTACACTAAAAACGTAATATTACAAAAGTTTACGCTCTTAAATTTGAATAATTATAGTAATTTAAGAATATCTCGCTATCTACTGATCCAATCAAGACGATCTATAGCTCATTGGAATCAGCTCATCAAGACGGATCGAATGGTAGTAAAATCGCATTTCTACAGTTGATAGAACGCTCTATAG